AATTTCAGAGGGCAATTCAGGATTGCTATGACTGATGAATATGTGAGTATGTACACTGATCAACATCCATTTAAGGTTGTTTTCTCCTCAACATTAAATGGATGATGACACCTAAGTATCATCCCAAGATATATGTACATGTTCAATGCACTGTACACAAACACCGAATAGGCACAAAAAGGCAAGTAGCTTGCTCAGTAGCAAATCTCAATTAAACATTTAAAATACTTATGAGTAAATGAAGCAAAGTACATAAATAGCTATGACTATGTATACAACTGTAATTCATCACTTTAACCATCTGTTGAGATAGCAAAAAATGTGGGCATATCTGGGGCTACTTTTAGCCTTTTTTTTTTTAAGATTTATTTTATTTATTTGAAAGACAGAGTTACAGAAAGAGTTACAGAGAGAGAGGTCTTCCATCCACTGGTTCACTCCCCAGATGGCTGCAAGGGCAGGAGCTGCGCCAATCCGAAGGCAGGAGCCAGGAGCTTCTTCTGGGTCTCCCATATGGGTACAGGGGCCCAAGGACTTAGGCCATTTTCTACTGCTATCCCAAGCCATAGCAGAGAGCTGGATCGGGAGAGGAGCAGTTGGGACTAGAACCAGCACCCATATGGGATGCCGGCGCTTCAGGTCAGGGCGTTAACCTGCTGCACCACAGTGCCAGTCCTTGGGGCTACTTTTAGTAAGGCAAGTACAATCAAAGCTAAAGAAGGCAGTCTCCTAGTTGACCACCGTGCCCCTCAGTGGGCTGGCACATTGCCAAAGGCAGAAGCTCTGTCTTTCCTTAGTGGTTCCTTAGTTTCCTACAGTAGGGATAGGAAATAGCTGTATATTCTGATGACAATTTGGAGTCTAAACCTTTTATTTGATTTACTGGGGTTCAACAAAATAAATGCCAGGTTTAAAGAAGTAGAAATTTTAGATACTGCTCTTTTGAAGCATAACCCATGAAGTCTGAATGTGAATGTTTTAAGAAAATTAAGACATCGAAGGTGGATTTTGAGACTTCAAGTGAGGTGCTAAGTGCTATTTGAAGTAACACTCCTACTCAAAGCCTATTCTTGATCCATGTTGTCTTTAATACCACAAAGAATCATCATGAAAATGAAATGAATACCTATAAAGTGCTTAGAATGGTATCTGCTATGTACAACTGTTTTCATTTCTTTCTAGGAATTAAAATGCAATGTAATTTTTTTTTTTTTTTAAGATTCAGTTATTTATTTGAATTGAAGTTCTTGATTTTATATCCAAAGAGCTAGCATGACTTTCCATAGGGCTGACATCTTGGAGAATCCATTCAAGGAGCATGACTTAGTCCAGCTTAATGAAGCTGATATCTTTCGTGTACTGATGGAAACACTAGGGGCACATGTTGAGACCGGATTTCCAGATCAGACTGTACTGGTTAGAGCAGACGTGGCAAAAGGGGGAAACCTGGCTGAATTTTCACGGTTGGCTCCAGTAGAGCTGCTAGTGACCTATCTTGCTTTCAGGAGTGCAATGAGGCAAAAGGTTATTTGAAAGTCAGAGCGACAGAGGGGGAGGACAGAGAGACTATCCACCTTATTGATTCACTCAATAGCCCACAACAGCAAGGTTTAGGCCAAGCCAAAGCTAGGAGCCAGGAACTCCCATGTGGGTGGGTGGGGAACCCAAGTAGTTGGGCCATCATCCACCTCCTTTCATGTACATTAACAGGAAGCTAGATCAGATGCCTAGATGGGGAGATTAAAAGCAAGCCTAGGGGCCGGCACTGTGGCGCAGCGGGTTAACACCCTGGCCTGAAGTGCTGGCATCCCATATGGGTGCTGGTTCATAGACGCGGCTGCTCCACTTCCCATCCAGCTCTCTGCTATGGCCTGGAAGAGCAATGGAGGATGGCCCAAGTCCCTGGGCTCCTGCACCCACGTGGAGGACCTGAGGGAAGCTCCTGGCTCCTGGCTTCAATTCGGTGCAGCTCCAGCTGTTGTCAACTGGGGAGTGAACCATCAGATGAAAGACCTCTCTCTCTCTGCCTCTCCTCTCTCTGTGTAACTCTGACTTTCAAATAAATAAATAAATCTTAAAAAAAAAAAAAAAAGCAAGCCTAGAAACAAAACTATCAAGATGGTATAGTAATCTATACTGGAACTTATAAGAGATATTTCCCTATTTTCTGGTCTAAGGGGTTCAGGAATAGAACTATAAAGTTTACTTTATACTCAAGTAGGATCCCTGACATCAGTTCTTATACACAACTAGAAGAGCAGTTGTCAAAAACTACATTTTATCTTATGCAAATAAGGGAAAGTACATCCCTTCCAGTTTGTCTCCCCTTTTTAATTCTAGCTTCACAATGCTGCCCTCTGCAGCCTGGTCAGCTCTTGCTTGTTGACTGCCATCCCAACCACACTTGCAAATCTGACCCTAGCCTCTATTGGTTATGTACAGCACTGTGAGGACTTTGCGTGTGTGTGTGTGTGGAGAATAGAAGTCGCCTTCAAAAGTAGGCAGAAGAAACTAAAGCAAGATGCCCCTAGTTCCAGAGAATCCACCCAAGAGGAGGACTTTCCTATGGGCTAGCAGAAGCTCCCAAATGCCAGGAAAGATTCCTTCCTGGCATCCACACAGACTGTCTCTCAGGCCTTTATGCTTTTCTAAAATATTGAAATAAAATTATACTTATGGTTAGAAAAAAAGGGCAAACAGTAAAAACGGTAACAAGTGAAAACATTTGGCTTCCATTCTAAACCCCTAGACAGGTTTGTGTACCCATGTAGAACTCATGTAACTGCATTATTAAAAACACACACTTGAAGGCTAGCAATCGTGGTACTGCGGGTTAAGCCACAGCCTGTGTTGCCAGCACCTCGTATGAGCAGCATCCCGTATGAGCCTCAGTTCAAGTCCAGGCTGCTCCGCTGTAGATTTAGCTCCTTGCTAACGGCCTGGGAAAAGCAGCAGCAGATGGTCTACCTCAGTTCAAGTCCAGGCTGCTCCGCTGTAGATTTAGCTCCTTGCTAACAGCCAGGGAAAAGCAGCAGCAGATGGTCTACCTCAGTTCAAGTCCAGGCTGCTCCGCTGTAGATTTAGCTCCTTGCTAACAGCCAGGGAAAAGCAGCAGCAGATGGTCTAAGTGCTTGGGCCCCTGCCACCCACGTGGGAACCCTGGATGGAGGTCCTGGCCCCAGCCTTTGTAGCCATTTGCGGAGTGAACCAGCAGATGGGAGATCTTTCTCTCTGCAACACTGCCTTTTGAAAAATATTTATTTATTCATTTATTTGAAAGAGTTAGGAGAGAGGAGAGAGGAGAGAAGAGAGGGAGGTCTTCCATCCACTGGTTCACTCCCCAGTTGGCCGCAACTGCGCCAATCCGAAGCCAGGAGCCAGAAGCTTCTTCAGGGTTTTCCAAGCGGGTGCAGGGGTCAAGGTCTTGGGCCATCTCCCACTGCTTTCCCAGGCCAGAGCAGAGAGCTGGATTGGAAGTGGAGCAGCCGGGTCTTGAACCAGCACCCATAAGGGATGCCGGCACTGCAGGCGGTAGCTTTACCGGCTACACCACAGCACCAGCCCCCAAATAAATAAATCTTAACACATACACACACCCATTTCTTTTGTTATTTATTTGAAAGGTAGAGTTACAGTGAAGGGAGAAAGACGGAGATCCTTCATTCTTTGGTTCACTCCCCAGATGGCCACAACAGCCAAAGCTGAGTCAGGTTCCTGGAACTCCATCCAGGTCTCCCTTGTGGGTCCAGGGGTCCAAGCACTTGGGCCATTTTCTGCTACTTTCCCAGACCCATTAGCAGGGAGCTGGATTGGAAGTAGAGCAGCCAGAACTCAACGTGGAGCCCAAATGGGATGTTGGCACTGCAGGCAGAGGCTTAACCAGGGGGCCACAAGCCAGCACCTATGAGTTTCTTTTTTAAGCATAAATGCAGTTTCTCCCCATTCCCCTCTCTTTTCCTCTTCTTCCTTCATCTTTCTCTTGCCCTCTTTCTTTGCCCCTCTTCTCTCCCCTCCCCACTTCCCCTAAAAATAAAAAGAAATGTTCCTATCACTCTACTTATCATCTGTGATTACAACTTGAGACTGTTCCCGAGGGGAGATTAAACTAATTATTTAAAGCCAAAAGGGCGGCTGGCGCTGTGGCGTAGCGGGTAAAGCGCCCCCTGCAGTGCCAGCATCCCGTGTGGGGGCGGGCCTGAGTCCCGGCTGCTCCACCTCTGATGCAGCTATGGCCGGGAAACGCAGTCCAGTGTGGGAGACCTGGAGGAAGCTCCTGGATTCTGGTTTCCGAGTGGGCCAGCTCTGGCCGCTGTGGCCATCTGGAGTGAACCAGCGGATGGATCGATCTTCTTTGCCTCTTCCTCTCTGTAACTCTGCCTTTCAAATATAAATAAATCTCAAAAAAAGAAAAACAAATAGGGCTACGAAATAAACCAACCTCTTCTCTCATAGGTTCCGCCACAATTTAAACAGCTTTCAGTTGCCACTGAGACGTTTTTCGCTTTTGTATTGTACACAGCGGTGGTTTCAACTTGAGTGGACGCTGGGTCACCTAACGGGCTTGTTAACACAGACTGCTGCACCCACCCACAGCTTCTAGCCTCCGGCCACCCGGGGCGGCGAATCTGCGTTTCTAACGCCAAGAGGAGTAGATGAGGCGAGTTCGGGACCCGCGCTTTGAGAGCCAATTAGCAGCGTAAAGGCTGCAGCGTACCTCCCACCACCACGGGCCCAGGAGACACACGAGATTACTATTCCGGGAACCTCAGTAAAAACCTCACAACAGCGCCAACCGCGCCCCACACCAAATACTCTACGCTTCAGCCGGAACTTAGGTAAGACTAACGTATATTCTGCGCCGGGCGCACCTCAGTTACGCCACTTCCGTTGCATTTGGCTCCGCCTACCAGGCGACGCTAACGCGAATAAAGCGGACCGCTTAGAGGGCGCGAGGAGTCACGTGGGTAGAGGAACCTCTCGCGAGGGTTTCTAAGTCTCGCGAGACTTCATTTGCCTCTCTGTCTTTTCCTCTTTCCAGCTCCCGGCTTTCCTCCCCTCCCCCTCTCTGCGGACTGAGTTCTTCCTTTTCACACCGAGTGGCCTTGTTGTCGTCGCGGAGATATTTCCTACTGCTGCTGCTCCTGTCGCCGTCGCCGCCATCACTGGGCTCATTTGCCCCCTTCCCTTCCCGCCGCCCCGTCCCCACCCCACACAAGGTAACAAACCCCGTTCGGGAGGGTTAGGCCGCGCCGGGCCTCGGCCTCTCCCGAGTGGAAGCGGAGGCCCGAGGCCGAGGAGCTGGCTTCGCCGCGGAGGTCTGGGCGCCGGCGAGCGTGTTCAGAGCCACTGCCTCCGACGCCGAGTGGAGCCTCGAGCCGCCCCGGCCGGCGTGGGGCCTGGGTGCGACTGGGACGCCGACGGCGCCCAGAGCCTCTGGCGGTTTCCTTGGCGGCTGATTTGTTGTTGGAATTTTGAGAGGTGACACGATCGGCCGAGCTTGGGGGGGTTTCGGGGTGCTGGCTCCTGGGGGGAGAGCCGCCTGGCTTGCTTCAACAAGCCTGTGGGGTCTTTCCGGGTCCCGGGCTTGCTTGGACGGGAGTTTTGAGAAAGTGCAGGGCTCTTGGACACCCTGAATGTTTGCTTAGAAATCTTCGAGGAAAGGTGAGTTCGCGTCTTTCGGGGGAGAACGAGCTGTGTTTGGCGGAAGGCGCGTTCCTTACAGTACGTAAATAAACCGTGTTTGAGCTGTTTTCTGTTACTGAAGAAGTGCATAGACACGTACTTAAGTGGGTGAAAGAGTTCGGGGAAAGAATTTGGTAAGGCGCTCTGTGGAATAGTTCGCGGAGAGGGAGTGAGTTGTGTAACTCAGAACCCTTTTCACGTGGCCTTGGAAGCATTCTTTCATGCCCAGAAACTTTTTTCTGACAGTTTATGGATTTTTCCCACAGATTCATGCGTTTTAAAGGTGTAACAACCTTACCATTGAACCCAGAAGAGTGCCTTTCAGAGTTTAAAGAAAATTGGAATGTCCCTTTCCCTCTTTATTGCTTTTTCTGCTTTTTTTTTTTTTTATATGGAATTCATCTCCCACGGTTGTAGTTTTCAGAATCTATCGCCTTGATCCTTGTACTTTAGGTTGTTTCGACCAAGACTACGTAATGGTGGTAAATGAAGGTGCAGCATTAATAAGGAGTTAGAAGCAAACCTGGTTAATTCAGGGAGGTAGAGAAATTCTTCCTTATGGTTGGAGTTTTGGTTTAATTTTTATAGTGTGACCCTTTTATATTTCCCCTCAGATGTCCGAGGATCTAGCAAAGCAGCTGGCAAGCTACAAAGCTCAACTCCAGCAAGTGGAAGCTGCATTGTCTGGAAATGGAGAAAATGAAGATTTGCTAAAACTGAAGAAAGATTTACAAGTAAGTATGGGTGGCCAGTTGTAGTTAGCATTGCTTGAAAAGCATATTTCTGTGTTTTTCACGTGATTCGTTGCTTAGAAACCATAGGTAACGCGACATACCCTTCAGAGGGGGATACCCACACGTATATGTGCACGGACACCATGACTTCTAGGAATAGGGTTACTTTCTCAGTTTATAGGCATCAAACTAGTGGAGTGTTCTTTGTTATATAAATCTTGTGCTCCTTTAATTTTTAAAAATAAGAGTTGATTTTGAAAATATCTTTCAAACTTTTCAGAGAAGTACAAACAAGAGTATTTCAGAAAGTTCATAGAAAATGGAATTAAAAGATGCTTACTTTGGTGCAAAAATGTTTTAAATACATGCATAATTTTTCCTAATAGCATTTTTATGAGCTTCTTAAATACCTCTTCTATAACTTTACAAGGGAAGAGCTTTTATTTTTCATACCTGCTAACGACATAGTTCAAAAGGTAACTAATATTAAAGAATAAAATCATAAGAGTCTCTGTAATGACACAAGATTATTTGAAAATGAAATGTATGCTTTTTTTTTTTCAAGGCGATGTACACCTTTATTTACATATTAAAATGCCTGAGACCAGTGTTCTCTGTGTAGTTGTTGATAACTTGTTGAAGCTGATGTGGAAGGCGATCTTTATTTGTTGCAGGACAGTTCAGTAGATTTATACTGGCACTAGGATCTCAAGACAGACACAAAACCATGATTGCATCTGATTCTCCATATAATAAGTTAAGAAAAATATCATAGATAATCTGTCAATACTGTACTGTACAACTATTGTGTTTTACAGCCTTCCTTAAAATTCTAAACCTGAGTTTTAAAAAGTTCCAAGGGTGTTGTAATTAGATAACTCACTTTACTGATTCAGTACAAAACTTGAATCTGTATTCTATCTAAAGAATCCTTTTCCTCTCTTTATCAACCCATTGTCTATTAAAGGTATTAATATTTTAGGAATATTAGGACTGGAAACAAATTAAACTTATCTGAAAAGGGGTCCAGATTTGGGATTCTGAAATAGCTTATCTGAGCATAATTAAGGTGAGTTGAATATTTTCAAGTTCAAATTCTAGATTTGGGATGAAGTTGGAATCATGTTATTTTTAAAAACAGAAAATACCGGGATAATTTTAACATGAGCAGGACCCTCTTCAGAATATTAAAGCTAGGTCTGTGAATATCATGGTGCCAGGCAATAAGAAAAAGATTTTTTTGAGGAACAATTTCTTCTATTCCAGGTCCTTCAGAAATGATACCCCAGTGGTTTGTTTTCTCCCTATCCATTCATTTAATATGCCCATGTGTTCTGTGTGGATACACTGAAGATAGAGTGACAGGGGCAGTTGAGATCTCTTGTATATTTATACTCTGTTAAGCACTAACTTTCTGCTTGCTTCAAAGAGAGGTGCCCCATCCACTTTCATCAGCTTAAAAACCAGTACATTTTTTTCTTTGAAGAAAACAGAACGTGTGCCAATGCTGTGTAGTGTATATTGCTTCCTGGTCAGTGGGAGGAGAGGTTGGGGGTGGAGTTTGAAACAGCATTACTAGCAGATTTTTAAAATATTTCTAGAATAAATTCTCATTAGCATCTGGGCAGAGCTGCCTTATGATGACATGAGCGTACTGGACAGTGTTATGGGGAGATAGTATGGTGGTAGACATTGGAGTAGGCACCTAAAGGGCTTACCTAGGGTTCAGTTAGTGACCTGGAAGTCATTTATCTATATAAATTAACCTGTTTTCTGTAACCATTTGCATCAGCACTGTCTAGTAGAACTTTGATGATGGAAATATTCTGTAATACAGAATGTTTTTCCTGACCAGTTTTGATCACAATTTTTTTCCCCTTGAATTCCATTTGAGAAAATAAATTCATTTGATTACTAAATTACAGGTCTGAACTGAATATTAAGATGGAGAACATCTTTTCAGGTTAGATAATGTTCCGGAAGGATTTGGTTATATGCTTCCACCTAGCGATTGTCTCCATTGATGGATACCACAGTTAAGCTTCTGTTTTGCTCTGGGTCCCCTCCACCCCTTCCCCACCCCCTTTTTCTGAGAGGTATCATACTGTTGGTACTTAATTTTGCCTGTTAAATTTGGTGGAAAATCTGTTCAGACTGTTTGCTAAATTTGTGATCTCCTCACTTGGATATTTTTAGACCATCCTATGGTTTCTGCTTTCTTGTACTCTTGGGAACTTAGATCCTTATCCTGGTTATTAATTTGTTTGCCCTTTGATTTATGACAGAATATTTCTTCGATGACATCCATTTTTCCAGTAAAGTTTACATGTTTCTTTCATATGTATTGTCTTTCATGTAGAATAATGTTACTCAGAAGGCAGCAAATTAATCTACTGAAGTCCTAACTGCCTTTCTTTTTTCTCTTAAAAAGAGGGTATATTACAGTCTAGGCTAGCTAGCAGATTAACTCCCCAGGCAGTGTGTAATCACAAAAATAGTCAATTTCTTAGGCTGTTTTGCTGAATAAATTGGTTCTAAAGGAGGCAGGGGTCAAGTCACTTGTCTCATATATTACAGTGGCTCTCTGCATCCCCGAAACGCCTTCCTTCAGTAAGCAGAGTGCTTGAGTGCACCCCCTTTGACCTGCTGATATGTAGATCACAACACCTGATGCTTCCTGGAATTGCCGATTACTGTAACTGCTGCCCATCTGTCATTGAAGGAGCAGTTTCAGAACTCAGACTTGGGGGAGGAAAAGTAATTAATGGTATGTACCTTCAAGAACTCCCTCATACATAAAATAGTTTCTCTGATACTTTAGTCCATTGATACGTACATGTGAGGAAAAATTTTTAGGAAATTCTTCATAGTTTGTTGGGAGGGTGCATAAAACCATGGCCAAGTTACAAGACTCCACGCAGATGTTCTGGATTTATTTTTCTTAAAGGTCATTTTAGCACAAGGCTCTGAAAATTCTTTTTAGCATGCACAGCTTTTTAAAACCCTTTTCTTTGATGAAAAATGTATTTCCTTATAAAAGTACAGTGAGAAAGTGTTCTGTCCTAAAAGAAACACAGTTCTAAATCTCAGACCTACAAGTGCAGAATTCGTGTTTAAGTGTTTGATCCATAGGAAGATATGGAAGTATGATTAAGGTTTTGTAGACTCTTGCGTCAGGATTACTAGATTACATTCCTGGCCCTAAAAGTGGTTAACTACAAGCAAAACAGGATAATTTTACCTCTGACTACATGATCTATTTGGAAGTTCTTTACTGTATTTAAATGTAAAGGACTTGTCTAATTAAAAAAAATAATTGGATGGCTACTTGGCAAGTCATAACATTTGGAGATACTATTCTACTGAAATTTCATCAGTAGTTTTCTATTTTTTTTACTCAAAAATTGACCTTACTCCAGAAATTAATATATTTGTATATTTTTAATGCCCAAATACTGATTTTTCAGAAATAGCCAGGAAGATTTAATCTTTAAGGTAGAGGTAACATTTAACGTTCTTGGCTACTGTACCAAATCTATTTCAGTGGGAACCAGAAGAAACTCAGTAAACTTTATTTTTTCCCCAAAGATTTTTTTGTGCAAAAATTGGGAACAGGTATGCAGGTTCTTAAATTAGAAAGCATAATGCATAGCATGGATCATCATTAGAGTAAAAGTATACCAGATAGATAGCCAAGTTATCAGTATTTACAATTTCTGAAGTTTTCTGTTATCCCTACCAAACACCTTTGAATGAAGCCAATGAATGTTAAGCCTGGGTTAGAAAAAATGCTTGAAACACAAAGAGGCATTACTAATGTGAAGCTGTGCTGATGTGGTTAAAATTAAGCTGCATTTGCTTTACTAGATGGATAGATTTTAAAATAAATGAATAGGAACACTAATGGTTTATTAAATGTGCTTACAATATTTTAGTCGAGACATGTCTGAGTAGGAACATTTTTGTTACTAATAAGACTGCTTTGGAATGTTTGGTGATTTGGGGAAGAATTTGCTAAGTGATACCCTATAAAACAGTATGGTTATATGAAACACAGAACAAAAATGAAAGGTTAAAGGATTTTGAATTTAGCTCAGTTCCTCATATTTTATTTCTCATCTTAAGAAAACTCAGTTCAGTTAAAATAAAATAGGCACTTAGAAATAATGCATGATATGAACTCAACTCTGTTTTCATTAGTATTTGTGGTTAAGTTGAAAAACAACTCTGAGCTTAAATCACAGTTGCAACACTTACTAGAAATCTCAGTTTCTACACGGGCATAATCACAGTGCTCTGCCTGTGAAACAGATAAATATTTATAGAGTACTTAATCAGTACCGTAAATGTGAGAGCTGCTGTCGTCAAAGTAGTTGATGATGTGAGTTAAATATTATGGTGGGTTTTTTTTGTCTTTTTGTTTTAGGAAGTCATAGAACTAACCAAAGACCTTCTGTCAACTCAACCTTCTGAAACTCTTACAAGTTCAGACAGTTTTGCTTCTACTCAGCCCACTCATGCATGGAAAGTAGGAGACAAATGTATGGCAATCTGGAGTGAAGATGGACAGTAAGTGTAGAAAAAAACTTCTAACTATAACATGAAATAATAAAATACAATGGTAAGATGTTTTTATTCAGTTTGAAGTACTCTATTTTTTTTGTTAAAAGATTTATTGGGGCTGGTGCTGTGGTATGGTGGGTTAAGGCCCCGACCTGCAGTGCTGGCATCCCATATGGGTGCCGATTCCAGTTTTGGCTGCTCCACTTCCAGTCCAGTTCCCTGCTAATGTGCCTGGGAAAGCAACAGAGGATGGCTCAAGTTCTTGGGCCCCTGTACCCACGTGGAAGTCCCAGAAGAAGCTCCTGGCTCCTGGCTTCGGATCGGCTCAGCTCCGGCTGTTGCGGCCATTTAGGGAGTGAACCAGTGGATAGAAGATCTCTCTCTGACTCTGCCTCTCTGTAACTCTGCCTTTCAAATAAATAAACAAGTCTTTATCCATATGGGATTCTGGCACTTCAGGCGCGGCTTTACTTGCTATGCCACAGTGCTGGCCCCACTATCCTATTTTAATTTTTCTATGTAGGACATGTGATTGGTAAAGCCAGTTTGATTCTTGGGTTGTTGAGATTACCACAGTTTAGTTTTAGCTTTAGATTCAGTTTGGGGAAAAGAATAGCTTGGAACTCAGAGGAAAGAAAAGTGAAAGCAAAGGGAAATACGTGAATATTTTCTAAAATCTTTTTCTTTCCAAATTGAAAGAGTGAATGGCTGATTATTTCAGATATTTGTGAAGTGTACATGCTGAAATCATTCCTTTAAGAAATATTTTTTTCTCAGATTAAAACACATCCACACCAGATACATAATGTACGTAAGAGACTTTTCTGATAATATTGCATTAGGACTTCCTTTTTTTTTTTTTTTTTTTTTTTTTTTTTTAGTAGCAGATGGCTAACTCCAAACACTCTTGTTATCTTGGCCAGAAGGGTATTTTGATTATAGAAGTTTCAGTTTAGACACATGTAATGATTGAATCACTGCAGTATAAATCTTGTAGGCTGAGTACTAAACCTTTACTCACCTGCTTACAGCCATGATATCTTTACAGGTGTTACGAAGCGGAGATTGAGGAGATAGATGAAGAAAACGGCACCGCTGCAATCACCTTTGCTGGTTATGGCAATGCTGAAGTGACACCACTGTTGAACCTCAAGCCTGTAGAAGAAGGGAGGAAGGCAAAGGAGGACAGTGGCAACAAACCCATGTCAAAGTAAGTGGCTTTGACTGTAGCATTTTAGATGTACTCTTGCCATTTGTGTATTTGAGGGAATCTGCAGAGGAAAATCTACAGGTGTGATTGTGATGTGAGAGGTTAGTGATAAACAGTCAACACTGTTTATACCTAGGGAAAGTGAATTGGGGTCATTGGGGTTCCCACTTAGAAGTTTAGCTTGGGCGTGGTGCTGCCTGTTATCTAGAGGCAAAAACAAATAAAGAATTGCTTTAATAATACGTAGAAGTTCTCAGCAGACCTTAACAGATAGGTGTAGTTTGGGCACAAAGAAATGCCAAAACTACAGCTGTTTAACACCTGTTCATCTTTAAAATGAGGACAATAATTGAATTATTGGATTGTAATGATTAAGCCATTAATAAGACTTGACAAAGTCCTGGACATGTAATAGGTTAGTAAATGTTTCCTTCTTTTTTTAAAAAAAGAGAATGTGGAGGAACATAGAGGTAAGATTCCTGTGGTAAAAAGCTGGAACTGGAAGGTGGATATTTGACAATTTTAGAGAAACTGAGGCCAGACTGTAAATGCTTATAAGCCACTGATAACATTTTTAATAAAGGGTATATGATGTGTTCAGATTTGAGCGTTAGAATTACTACTGGCAGTTGCTGTAATCCAGATGTAAGATGATGATGGGCTAAATGCTGCAGTGGGGATGGAGAAGTATACAGTTGTGAAAGGAACTTAAGCAGCAATATTAACAGTACTTTGGTTGACTGTGTATTTGCCACAATTTGTTGTTATGGGTTTGTTGAGAGCTTGTAAAACCTAAGTTGCTATATAACTAACTATATTTCATTTTAAGAAAATAATACCATTTATTAAAATAACATAAGCAACTCTGGTTTATAAAACTGTGTAGTCTCTGTTTTAGGTCTTTTGACTGACTTCTATGTAAAAAGCTATACTTCACTTCGTGATGTTGTTTCTCCATATACTTTCTCCAGGTGCTCCATATTACACATGTTAACTTACATGTATTGGAAGTTGATGAAGGTGTAGATAACCATTCATGTTGAAACTCTTAATATACAACTGGCAGAAGCTGTATAAAAATCAAATAAAAAGTCATAGTTGAAATATTTTGGCCGGCGCCATGGCTCACTAGGCTAATCCTCCGCCTGTGGCACCGGCACCCTGGGTTCTAGTCCTGGTTGGGACGCTGGTTCTGTCCCGGTTGCCCCTCTTGCAGTCCAGCTCTCTGCTGTGGCTCAGGAAGGCAGTAGAGGATGGCCCAAGTGCTTGGGCCCTGCACCCGCATGGGAGACCAGGAAGAATCTCCTGGTTTTGGATCGGCGCAGCACGCCAGCCACAATGCACTGGCCAAAGCGGCCACTTGGGTGAACCAACGGAAAAAGGAAGACCTTTCTCTCTGTCTCTCTCTCACTGTCTAACTCTGCATGTCAAAAAAAAAAAAGATAAAAAAAAAAAGAAATATTTTGTCATGGATAGTTAAATTTGAAAGTTTCCAAAGACGCCACATAAGAAGGGGGTAAAAGCCTTTCTTAGTACTGAATGGTTGGCAGTGATGAAAATAAGTTAGTGCCTTTATTCGCGGAGAGAAGCTAGTATTAGATTTGTGTGTGTGTTTTTATGTTGCTGATATCTACGAGGAAACCATCTTTTAAGTCTTAAGGTTTAGCATGTAGTTCTTTCTTTTTTTCCACTCAGAAAAGAAATGATTGCCCAGCAGCGTGAATATAAAAAGAAGAAAGCTTTGAAAAAAGCACAGAGAATAAAAGAGCTTGAACAGGAAAGAGAGGACCAGAAGGTGAAATGGCAACAATTCAACAACAGAGCCTATTCGAAAAACAAAAAAGGCCAGGTTGGTAAATCTTTCATCATACTTTGTATATTTGGAAAGTACAGTTTTCTTTGAAGGTAAAATGAAAATGAAAATGTAGATTTTAGAAGGACATGATTAACCAGATATTGAATTCAGAATCATTGTCAGTCCTCAATTTGGCTTATTGAAAAATTTCTCATCCACTTTCTACAATTAAAAAATTAGGAATAATGATAGAATCTGTGTCAGGAATTACAGTATAGAGACTTTGAGACTCTGCTTTGTTAGCATGCTTTTACACCAGGCATCATGGGCAGCTTCTGTTGAAAAAAGCATTTACATTTCCTTGGTACACTGCTTTCTAAGGGTGTGTTTGGTAGAAACTAACCCTAACATTCATATAGGAAGCTCAGAGCGAGCAAGAATAAACCTGGCCTTCACTCTTGCTTTTCATGACTGTCAAGATAATCCTTCCAGTAGTAGACACTGCTTCTGAAAAGTAGGATGTGCTTTTCATAAGGTGTTTATTTGGAGGTGAAAGCCAAAGGATTTCACAATTTAAACATTACAGCAGACCCCACGGTAAATTTCAGTTCAGCCAGTTTCAACTCTGCTAAGATGGATTGCTCAGAGCTGAAATAATGATTTGAGTCTATAAAACTAGAATTTTTTTTAAAAAATTTATTTCATGGGCTGGTGCTGTGGCGTAGCGGGTAAAGCCACTGCCTGCAGAGCTGGCATTCCATATGGGCGCCGGTTTGAGTCCAGGCTGCTCCACTTCCAATCCAGCTCACCACTATCACCTGGGAAAGCAGTAGAAGATGGCCTAAGTCCGGGGGCCCCTGCACCCGTGTGGGAGACCTGGAAGAAGCTCCTGGCTCCAGGCTTCAGATTGGTGCAGCTCTGGCTGTTGTGGCCATCTGGGGAGTGAACCAATAGATGGAAGATTCTCTCTCTCTCTCTCTCCTCTCTGTCTGGCTCTGGCTCTGCCTCTCTGTAACTAAGCCTTTCATATAAATAAATAAGTTGTTAAAATTTTTTTTTATTTTAAAGACAGAATTAGAAATCTTCCATCTGCTGGTTCACTTCCCAAATGGCCTCAACAGCTGGAGCTGGGCCACGCCAAAGATAGGAGCCTGGAACTGCATCTGGGTCTCCCACGTGGGTCGTGGCAGGGGCTCAAGTACTTAACTATCTTCTATTGCTTTCCTAGGTCCATTAGCAGGGAGCTGGATCAGAAGAGAACAGTCAGGACTTGAACAGTACTCAAGCGCAATGCCAGCATTGTATACTATAGCTTAACCCGAGCCACAATTCTGGCTGCCAAAATGAGAATTTTGAGACTTATGAAGGCAGTTGTTAGAAATGTTAATAGTGTTGGTGATATTTTCTACAGCTTAGAAGTTGGGTGAATGAATGCAGTGCAGGACCATTTGATATCTGGTTTTGACACTAGAACATTACATAAAATTTGAAATTTATTTTTCCCCAAAACTAACCCAGAATGGTTTCTGTTTCCTTTCCCCTAGGTAAAGAGGAGTATTTTTGCTTCACCTGAAAGTGTAACTGGCAAAGTTGGAGTAGGAACTTGTGGAATTGCTGATAAACCTATGACACAATATCAAGATACCTCTAAATACAATGTCAGGCATTTAATGCCTCAATAATCAGAAAAACTGTTGGATTTCATCTCTGCAGGGCTTTACATTTACCTTTTTATCCTTATATTTTTCTAAAGGTAAATTATTTGTTAGATGAGTAAGGAAGATACCATTGTCATTGTTTGCTTCATTAGAATGAGACTTGAAGAAATTGCATTTGATAACTGCTATTCGTTTAACTTTTTCATTACTACTACCACAGTTCCCTCAAAGTTTGTTGAATAAAGCAATTTTTCTAGATAAGTGCTGCTAGTACAGCTCTTATATGAATTACTAAGATCTTAATATCAGGCCACCACTAAACTGATGGTACATAATTTTTTTATGAGTCATAACAGAATTTTCATATGCTTTGAACTTGACATATCCTGGCAGTTCTTAGGAGTATCAAGGCAAAAATACCAATCTGATAGACATTTTTTCATACATACATTTTTTTTTAATCTTCAACTTTAAAACCTGGCTATTGTCCAGTTAAGCCTAAATATGAGTTAATTTATAAGTGACAGTTTAGAGGTTTTTCCTTCAATAACCTGTTTTCTAAGCCTGTCAGGCCATCTCTAAAACTGATATCTTTTATGTTCATTCATGGAGACTTCGTTTTATGGGAGAAGCCAAGCATGTTTAGGATGAGCTGCCTTTTGTAAGGTTTTTTGTTTGGTTGGGTTTTTGTTTTGTTTTGTTTTGGTTTTTTTTGGGTTTCTTTTGTGTGTTGGCTTTTTTTTCTTGTTAGTTTTTCACTTGTGGTAGTACCATTTTTTGGATATGTAAGTTTATATGGGAAAACAAAAAGCTGATGTATAGCCCTGTATACAGTGTAGATACTATTTTTGTAAAAAATTGAGGCTAAATTAATGAACAAGAATACTGAATGTTTCATCATTAAAAATCTTGTGTATTTCTTGTGCATTAATCTGACCATAATTTCCCTGTATATTATGTTCATGTAGCTGAGTTTGTAATTTTGTTAACTAGATCAAGTTGCCAGCATTTGTTGGTGTAAGTGAACATCACAGTTAATCCTGAGTTGAATTTAAGCCAAATACATGCATAAAAAAGATCTTCTAACTAATGGAAGATGATTTTTAGGTTGTGCGTTAATTTTAGTTTTGTATGTTTAACTTTTATTAAATAAAGTGTTTTTAAAATCTCCAGGGTGTGTTAACAAAAAGATGAATCAAGCTGCATACACTGGGATAGTGCCAAAGCATTGTACTTGCTGATAGATTGCTATGGGAAAGAACATTAAGTGTATGACAAAGGTTTCAGTAAATCCTTAAGTATTCCTTCCATTAGACATAGAAGTTGTGTCCTAAGGGATAAACTAGTCTCATTTTTAAGGGCTTTTGCTGTGTATAGTATACATTTGTGAATAGTTTTGGTGGAGGGGGAGAATTTTTTATTTGATGAATGTTGCTTCTTGGTAAGTTGAAACTTAGGATAGTGATGAGGGGTATTCCATCTCTTCCTTCCACCTCAATGCCTATCAGATTTTCTTCCTAAACATGTAAGACAGGTACAAAATAAAGTAGAAGAGGGGCTGTGTAAGTCCTGAAATTTTCCTTTTTTTTTTTTTTAATTTGACAGAGAGAAAGGTCTTCTTTCCGTTGGTTCACCCCCTAAATGGCCGCCACGGCCGGTGCTGTACCGATCCGAAGCCAGGAGCCAGGTGCTTCTTCTGGGTCTCCCATGCAGGTGCAGGGGCCCAAGCACTTGGGCCATCCTCCACTGCCTTCCCGGGCCACAGCAGAGAGCTAGTCCTGAAATTTTCCAACTACAATGTTAATATTCGTCTTGTTACTACTGTAACAAGCAGTTTTTTTAAAAAATTATTTATTTGAAATGTGAGCTACAGAGATAAATTTCCATTCACTGATTCACTCCCCAAATGGCTGGCCAGGCCAAAGCCAGGAGCCACGAACTCCACCTGGGACTCCCACATGGATGGCAAGGACCCGAGGACTGGGGCCATCATCTACTGCCTTCCCAAACACATTTGCTGCATCAAAAGCAGAGTGGCTGGGACTTGAACCTACACTCTGGGGATTCCAGTGTTGTTGCAAGCAGCAGCACTGTAACAAACATCATCTGAGCATACCAATAATCTTTGAAGGATTCTAAAAAAATCCTTTGAATTAAAAAGCTCTGAAGGGCAGGTGTTTAGCCTAGCAGTTGGGACACCTGTGTTCCACAGAGGAGTGCTTGTTGTCAACACACACCCCTGCAGGATTCCTGATTCCAACTTCCTGCTGATGCAGACTGTAGGAGGCAACAGTGATGACTGAGTGGCTAAGGTCCTTGCCACTGTGAAGGAGACCGGCATTGAGTTCTAGTACAGGCCCTGGCCATTGGGGAATGAATCACAAGATGAGAATATGCTGCCTACCAAACAGAAGAAACCACAAAACCTGTCAAAAGGCTCGGGTAATTATGAGAACCCAGAAAATGGGTTTTGTTGATTACCTTGGTATGTTTTAGAGTAATATTTCACTTGATGGTTGTATGTAGGACTACTGTTAACTTGAGCCTTGGCCCCAGTAGGCCTTTTTTTGTTAATTTTTTTCTGGGAGACTTTGCAGTAGTAGAGAGAAAAGAAATCAAAGTGGCCACATCATGGCATTACAGCATGAGATAAGGAGCGGTTGTGGCAAAAGCCTAGACATGGCCCTTGGGGAAATCGCAGTGTCAGGATGATGATGGTCTATTTAGACCAAAATGAAAGTTAGGACTCCTGGAGAGTGAGTACCTGTGCTCGATACTTTGCTGTTATTGACCATTTCAGGGAAAGAACAGTCTTAATTAACACCCTCAAAATTCAGTAACTAAAATGTTTAATTTCATAGTAATCAGATAATGAGATAATGAATACTGCTTTAATTAACATGTAGTGATGCCTCAAAGCATGTCGCAAGAGCCAGGACTCTAGAACAAGACTGTTTTGAATCCTGGCTCCCCATTTATTACCTTGTGAATGATGATACCTCATTGTTCCTTTCCATAGAAATAATATCTGATAAATTGGAGTTTAAGGTTTGGTTTAATCTGGGTAAAGAGTTTATTAGTAGAGTATCTGCTGTAGACGTTGTCTGTTACCTGTGCACAGTGGCAATCGTAAATATCTTGTCTCTTTAACTTGAATAGTAGCAGTTAATATTACAGTGTATAATGCTCATTGCTTATGATTAGCCCCTAATTAAAACGATTATCAAAATGTTATCAAATTGCCAGTTACAAAATACAGTAAGCAAATTCTAGGAAAGTTTTAAATTTTCATACTAGGGCATGGTTCTTCACGGGACAGTAGTGCAGGTTAAAAACCGCTCCTAATGCTTGTGTAAAAATTGAGGAAGGTTGGGTCCTATCCCTGATTTATGCAGGCCTAGGTATGTCTGGTTGACAGACATCACAGCTCTGATGAGCATCCTTGACTGAATGTTTTAGGTGACTATAAAAGGAATTGGATTTTTGAACTTCAGAAAAATTGCCTTCCCTGGCAGTTTTATTAGGCTAATTATGAAGTCTAGGCATCAGACAAAGATAAAATGTACCAGTTAATTATACTTGTAACTCATTTTTTTAAAATGCTTGTTCTTGTCACAAATGAAGGGGGTTTGTGTTTCCAGTATTATGTAGTTTTAGAGCTGAATGTGTTTGCCTTGAAAATACCAAGGGAAACCACCAGGTAAAAAACTGCTGTGTCTTGTGTCTATAGATTGTAATTTTATAATTACAGTTATACCTTTTATAAAGTCATGCCAATTGTAATTTCAGCCAAAAATTATATTTAAAGCTTTGATTTGGGGCACTTTTTTTTTGCCTTAACTTGGATGTTAATTGAAATAGAAAATTATTAAAACCAACAAGGATTTATATTTGTTACAATGTTTAGAGGATTCAATAAATACATGCAGAATTGTATTAAGTATCTGTATTATACTCTGAGGCAATTAGTATAAATGGTAATATACAAGTTTTCAACAGTAAATGTAACCGTTCTTTATATCTAGGATTTTTGAGTTGCAAGTTAAACTGAATTTTTACTGCAGTGGAGAGGAAGAGCATAGCAGACAAAATCACAGGTAATACCATAGTTTAAACAATTAAAAACTTGGAGTAATACAGTTCCTTTACCCTATCATTTTTTAAAAAATATTTATTTATTTGAAAGAGTTACACAGAGGAGAGGCAGAGAAAGGTCTTCCATCCGTTGGTTCACTCCCCATATGGCCACAATGGCTGGGGCTGCGCCGATCCGAAACCAGGAGCCAGGGGCTTCTCCGAGTTCTCCCACATGGGTGCAGGGGCCCAAGGACTTGGGCTATCTTTTTTTTTGACAGAGTTAGAGACAGAGAGAAAGGTCTTCCTTCCGTTGGTTTACCGCCTCCGCCAAGTGGCTGCCACGGCTGGAGCTATGCCGATCCGAAGCCAGGAGCCAGGTGCAGGGGCCCAAACACTTGAATCATCCTCCACTGCCTTCCCGAGCCACAGTAGAGAACTGGACTGGAAAGGAGCAGCCGGGACTAGAACCCGGCGCCCATATGGGATGCTGGCGCCGCAGGTGGAGGATTAACCAAGTAAGCCATGGTGCTGGCCTGACTTGGGCTATCTTATACTGCTTTCCCAGGCCATGGCAGAGAGCTGGATGGTAAGTGGAACAGCCAGTTCTCGAACCGGTGCCCATATGGGATGCTGAGACTTCATCCATGTATGTGTGTAGATAAATTCTTAGGAAACATCTTAAGAGGATCAGAAACCAGTATTATACAAAGGGTATTCTAAAGATTTGTTTTAAAAAGAAGATGGTGTTAAGATTTCTGAGGTTTTTCTTTTGCCTTCTCAGTTTTACATAAAAATATAGTTTTGTGGCTGTGAGTAAAGTAGATCAGAAATATCAGTGGGCTTGTGAAGAGTTGATTGCTGAACTAGTTAAAAATATAAAGTTTTTGGTATTTAATTTCTTTCAGTTTTTAGCAATAAAAGCTGGCAGTTTATATCCACTGTGCCACTTATCAGTTCATTCCAGACTAAAGTCATGGGAATTTTTTTTTAATTATTATTTATTTATTTGAAACAGTTCACAGAGAGGGAGGGAGAGAGATCTTCCATCTGCTGGTTCACTCCCCAGACAACTGAGTTAGAGGTGGGTGGTGGGGGAGAGACCTTCCTTCTGCTGGTTCATTTTCCAAATGACTGTGACAGCCAGGGCTAGGCCAGGCCAGAGCCAGGAGCCACGAGCCACTTCTGCCCCGTTGGGTGGAAGGGGCCCAGGTATTTGGGCTATATACAGCTGCTCTCCAGGTGCATTAGCAAGAAGCTGGATTGGAAGTGTTGTAGCTGGGACACAGACCATATGGGATGCTGTCGTAACAGGTGGCAACTTAACTCGCTATGCCACAAAGTTGGCCCCAAGTTATTTTTTTTAAGAGCACAGCTAAAGGAGCGGTGGTTGTACTTAGAAAAGGTTGACATTTTGAAGAGCTACTGAGCTACTTTCTCAAGTTGGGGCCCCAAATCATGGTTGTTATTTTGCTGGCTCATGATTTCCCTTTCTTACAAATTGATGTGCTTTTGTCTTTTTCCCCTTTCAAGCCCTGTACTTACTTTAGCAAGATGCAGTGAATTTCTGACCAGAGAAACAAAGAATTCAGGCTTAGAGGAAACACTTGACTCCATATCCTGGAAAAACTAGAGTTGAAGCCTGAGATCTGCAGCTAGGCTAGTCTTTAATAGATGGTAATTGTCCAATTGTTCATTGCTCAGAAGTAGCTGGAAGGAGTAAGTATCCCTTTGGTTCTTTTGTCTGGAGTTTTTCTCTCCAAAAGCACTGTCAGCTGTAGTTGGCCTAGCTTTCAGAGTAAGTGTGATGAAGCTAATTTACAAACAACTGACCTCTTAAATTTTTATATTTTTACAATGCTATTGTGTGCCATGGTATGAACATCTAAAATAAATATCCCAGTTACTGCCCTACCAGTCATGATTGTTTAAGCTTTTCCAATGGCAAAGAACTAAGAGCTTGAAGAAATAGAAAAATTCAAAAATTAGTTGGTAGTATTTTACATGTGGTTCATCCTGTAATAATTTCAGACTATAGAAAGGTGAAACAGAACCAACATGTGATATTGCTGGCTAGTGTATCTATTTTGAACTATATTACTTTTCATGCAAGAGGCAGAGACAGATCCCATCTGCTGGTTCACTTCTCAAATGCCTGGAACATCCAGGTCTGCCAAACAACTCCAAATCTCCCATTTGGATGTTAGGGATCCAACTACTTGAGCCCTCACCAGCTGCTTCTCAGGGTCTGCAATGGCAGCATGGTAGAGCTGGGAATCAAACCTAGCCCTCTAATAAGGCATGCAGGAATCTTAACTGCTAGGCCGTTAGTATGAGAGACTCCACAAGAAAACCAGGTTCTATTAAACCTGGTGTCGATGCCAGGAAGATAGCTGATGTTCCTATTTTGGCAAGATAAGCAATAAATACTAGAGCACTCAATTATGCTGTGATTACCAAAATAGGTTCAACCTCACGCTTCTCAAGAAAAGTCTATATAAATGGTAATCCTAAAAAGCCTGTGTTTATTTTTTTTTTTAATTTATTTGAAAGTTACACAGAACGAGAGGGACAGAGAGAGGTCTTCCATTTGCTGGTTCACTCCCCAGTTGGCTACAATGGCTGGAGCTGTGCCAGTCCAGAGTCAGGAGCTTCTTCCAGGTCTCCCAAGTGGGTGCAGGGGCCCAACGACTTGGTCCATCTGCTTTCCCAGGCCATAGCAAGAGAGCTGGATCAGAAGTGGAGCAGCCGGACTCAAACTGGAGCCCATAGGGGATGCCAGCACTGCAGGCAGTGGCCTTACCTACTATGCCACAACGCCAGCCCCAAAAGCCTGTATTTTAAAAATTTTATAGGACATCAAGTTGACTTGTTCCAAAGAAGTACCTGCTGTGGATTTAAAAATTTTTTTTAATGAACCAATATTTAGAAATAGTATTTTTCTGCAAAGTCAAAAACTACAATTCAAGATTAAGAATGATACAGTTAGGGAAGGCTGCAGTCATTGGGGAAGAAGAGAAGTACATCTTAATTTCCTAGTGATGCTATATTTGGGGGGCAGAGGGGACTAATTTACTGTATCAGTTTAGATTGTTAACGTTACAAGACAAGCAGTATTAAAACAACTTTTCAGGAGGAAACAGACTATGAAGAAATTAACTTGTCCAGGGTCTGGCAGATGTTGGGATTAAGATGTAATTAAAACTTGGCTTTTCCCACATTATGATGTTTCCGGGAGGTGCATTAGGAATCTGACGTTGGTTTAGGTATGGGATTCAGGAGATATAATAGGAGGAGGGAGAAATTTGCTTCTTGAACTGAAAGTAGACTCCCTCTCACACCCAAAAAAAAAAAAAAAACAGAGGCTGAATAGTTTCCACGGGAGAAATGAATCAGCAAGCAATGTGGCCTTAAGAACTTAGCTTTAACAATCCTGTCTTTTAAAATCCCTTCATAATGTTAAAAGCAGTCATTGTCATGAGGCCTACAGAAGACATTTCTGTAGTTCTCAAACCTATTATATCCGGAAACTATAGTCAGAATGGATTGCACTGGAACCAGATTTATCTGATTGTATCATTCATAGGCATTTTACAAACAGGTAAATAAAGTTAATGGGGACTACACTGCAAATCCAGACTTCGCAGTTTATAAGGTGTATCCAAAAGAGATGCCCTAAAAAGTGAGAGAATAGATTAAAAATGGATGTGTCCTACTTTGAAGCAATTATCTATCAATTATCTTTTATTATGTGCAGTGAGGTTAGGTGGAGTTATGGAGTACCTACCTAAATTACAAAACAGTAGCAACTGTAATTAAGATGGCCATTAATTTTGGACTAATATATCAACACAGATGTTTTAGTTGCCACTTAAAGTGTGCATATTCACACATATTTGTGCCTTCATAGAGAAGAGTGGTACAAAAATAACTCTGGTTTCATTTATTCACAGTTTTTATTTCTTGCAGTTAACTTCTGGGTCTTCAGAGTCGATTTGTCTTTTAAAAAATTAATACTCAATGTGTCATCTACCTTCCACCTCCCTCCCCTCCCCCACCCCAGAAAACAAAATCAGGAAAGTAATTCAGGGCAGTTGAGATAATGTACCTATAGGTTTGTAACAAAGGCTTCCCAGCCCATTATCCTGTACATACAAGCACACAACAAAATGGCAGCACCTCAGGTTTGCCTGAATGAAGTCCCAAACTGCAGCCCTAAATGATGCCACTGAATGCCATGGGAGTAACAGAATGAGACCTTAGTCATTGGCTTTCATTTACTTTCCATGGTCATTAGCAGTCTTTAAACTGTCTCACTTGGGAAAGTCAAAAGTAAGCAAATATATAGAGCAACAGCTTGACCTGGCCAGGAGTACTTATGAATTAAATCAAAGATAATTTACCTGGACCACACAAATGAATTTTTGTCATGTTTTTCATTTAAGTCCCCAGCACCTGGAGTGTAGCACGTTCTAATACTGGGCTTCTAAAGGCATGCAGTTTTTCATACATATCTACTTCAGAGAATTTCCTCCACTCAAACATATAATCAAGGAAAAGATTAAAATTTGGAGGCACAGAAGAGCACAAGAACAAGTGAGTATATGCTGAGGCCTTATGTATGTCCAAGATGATACAGTTCATGTATAGTTTGTGTATAGAAGCAGTGAATGCTGTTAAAAGTGCTACTCAAAAAAAGGACAGTCTAACATTCACACACAACTGCGCTGCTAAATATGGTTGTCTTTATTTTGTTTTTCCTGGCCCAGCCCTATCTAAACATAAAATAAAACTATAGGACTGAAATTAACAACCCATTAAAATCAGCAATAAGTTATGAAAATCATAAAGCTTTTTTTTTTTTAAGTAATTAAGGGCAGTTAAATTATTTAAAGTATACAAAGTCCAAACAGCCAGGGGTAAAGTCTCCAAGAAGGCTTCCCAGGGTAAGGGAAAGGGCCAGAAGCGAACCTTGGAGTTTGAAAGACAAGGGGAACACATGACATCAAAGTGCAGGCTAGAAATTTCACTTAGAAGAAAATAACATTTCAGAAAATATTCATAAGAGCAACAATAGCACCTGCACAATAGGATTGTGAGGAAGGAGAGAGACTGCCTGTAGGGAAATGGAAGCAGATTTTAACATGAAAATGAGACAAGTGCTGAACTTAACTATGTTAACTATGATAGTGTGTCTACTATAGATACCAGATGGTTAAAAGCTGGTAAAAGGTAATGATTCAAAAGAAAACAAAAACAGCATTGACTTTTTTTTTAACCTAACCCAGACCTCATTCATCTTGTGCACTACAGAGTGAGGTGTGAGGTGTTGTATTGTTATCAAATGCTGCATCAAAATAGATCATTTCTTTTCCCATGTGTTTTTCCACTATAAAAGACATCTTTTTTTTTTTATGGACAAGCTTTAAAAAGATGTCATTTTGGTTTTCAACACATATAAACAGTTATCAAAATCTGAAATAAAAATGCTGCCGTGGCTCAGACCTTGGCCTGCTAACCTGTGTGCACAACTCTTCTGACCCATGTGGACACAGAAGCACGTGGAACAATTTTCCCTTCTGGCTCCCCAGTCCATACTCATAGGCCTGTGATAGAGGCTGTCATGCATGGACTACCCCCCATGCGGCCTAGGGGTGGTGGGCTGGCTAGCGGGCATTTGGGTGCCCTAGTGCTAACGATGCGGGAAAAGGTTAGCTTGCTTAGCATGGAATCCAACAGAAAGCTGAGCTGCATGATGATCCCTTTCAAAAGGCTTCATGGGAGTCTCTCCTTTTGTAGAGCATGAAATGAGCTTTTTTATTTTTTTAAAGAACTCATCATCCACAAGCTTCATGATAAATTGTCCCAGGCTAAGTTGTCCTAGCTCTAGCTATCCAAGAATAATGCCTGATTATCTTGTCTTTTCATTACTGTAGGTTTGATTTTGTTTTTAGGGCCATAAAGCTCAGGATGGGAACATAATCCCATTCTTCAGTGTGTTTACTCAACATGGTATGAGCAAACTCAGAAAGAGAGGACAGAATCTCTAATGTCCTCTTTGCCTTAACACTAAATCAAGAAAATATCAGACAGGTTTTTCTGCTGCTGTTAGAAATTGTGATTTCTCCAATATGCATATTAGGAATATTTGTTCTGCTGGAGAGGCTGTGCCCCACTTTTTGCTGAGTATTTGCTTAAATACAGGTCTTCTGACCCTTTTGTTCAAGTATAGTATTCTTTCATTTAGTTTTAAAGAGGAGACTGCATCATGAACCCAATTTAAAGAGATTGTACTGAGTTGGCCCAGTGATTATTTTGCCCTGCACTTGTTTTGTCATGCTGGGTTCTAGGAAGTGAACGAAAGTTTGACACTGGCACTGGAGTATCCCTCGTCGCTCCCAATACTCTGCAGGCTGCTGTGGTCATCAATGTCACTGATGCTGGTGGTGCTTATATTGTCCACTTCTCCATGGGAGAACTCTGTGCTTTCAACATCGACTTCAATCTCCTCTGCCAAAGGGGGAAAAAAAGAACATTAATAATTTAGTACATGGGCACCTTTAAAAACTAACAAGACATGAAAAGTGCTGTCTAAGTTATACAAGTGTGCTATCGGGGAACTCTAAGGTGAAAAGAGACAAGAATATTTCTTGCAAAGGGGAATTTCTGGTATACAATGGTGGTCTTAATTTAGGCTGCAAGTTTACTAAACCCCTTGACGCCAGTCCGTCTGGACCTCCCACTAAAGTTACTAGGCCTATTTGGGAATTAGTGCTTAATATTAAAAGATCCTGATCTCATGTGGTTTAACAACATCTGCTTTGCATTAAACCAAAAACTAATTCTCAGTGCTGTTTATTAATCAGGGTTGCCTTAAAGGGGGAAAAAAACCCACAAAGTTAATACAGGCAAACTAGAATATTTATCCATCCAGGCCTTTGATGGTACCTTGGTACAGCTCTACAGATTTCTGTAATTCATGAGACTTCTACAATTCATTATAAAGTAGATTCGTCTTCAATTTAATCTTCTTGTATCAAATATAGCTTGAAATAAGGGCATGAAGCTTAAGTTACAGGATTATAATGCACAAGGCATTTTGGTGGTGATATTTAGTTTAAAAGCCAAACATAAAAACCCTAAATATCTATACATATATATGAGGTACAGTTATGACTATTAAATGTCTTCTTTTTTTTTTTTTTTTTTTTTTTTTTTTGACAGGCAGAGTGGACAGTGAGAGAGAGAGACAGAGAGAGAAAGGTCTTCCTTTTGCCGTTGGTTCACCCTCCAATGGCCGCCGCTGCAGCCGGCGCACCGCGCTGATCCTGGCAGGAGCCAGGAGCCAGGTGCTTTTCCTGGTCTCCCATGGGGTGCAGGGCCCAAGCACCTGGGCCATCCTCCACTGCACTCCCTGGCCATAGCAGAGAGCTGGCCTGGAAGAGGGGCAACCGGGACAGAATCCGGCGCCCCAACCGGGACTAGAACCCGGTGTGCCGGCGCCGCAAGGTGGAGGATTAGCCTATTGAGCCACGGCGCCGGCTCATTAAATGTCATAATATTAATTAATTAAATATATTAATTAATCATTAATATATAGAAAGCAATTTTTTTAAAAAAAAAACAAAAGGCAGTTAAAAATTGTTTTCCTCTGTAAGAGCTAGGATGAAACAACATTGTTCGGTTTTCTTAAAGCCATCATGATGTCTCCGATCTGGCACTGACTTTGAGTCCAGACTATTCACAGCTACCTTCTGAAAAGTGGCTTCTTGCTGAGGCCAAAAAAGACAGGGTGAAATCATGTTAAAGAGTATACTCTTCAGAAGGGTTTGTTTTTCAAAAGTTCTAGAGGTTTGGTTTTGAAATGCAAGCAGCTATCCAAACAAGCTGTACAAATAATCTATGAATTCATGATTCTGTGCTTCATATCCATTAAATCTTCAGAAGCCATACCACATTTCAGAACACTCATCCAGTCTATAGTTGGAAAATAATAGCAAGGTACCCTACCCCAACTCAGTCAAAACAAAACCACAGGCTGCTGTGGACAAATAGACCAGAGATGTTACTAAACATCCCTGCAATGGTGGAGGATAAAAGGGTTGCTAAGGATTAGAATAGTGTGTAGTAAGGTACCAACAAGTCCACTGGGAGTACTTTAAAAAAAAAAAAAAAAAAAAAGGAACTTATCTAATGATAAAAATACACCCACTTTGAAATTTGGAGGTCGCAAAGTGCAAGTGTTATATAGATCAATAGTATCTTAAAAGTTCTTTCAAATGCATTGTAGATGTTGCATACTGATTCAAACATACTAATGGTTAAATGCCATTTTTGAGACAACTGGAGAAAACATTACAGACAAACTGGCTATTAGATGGCAATTAAATATCTGATTTTACTTTGTGGGGTATTACATTTTTAAAACTTCTACATGAGTACTTAAAAAAGATGGCAGGAAAAGTGGAATTCAAAGACAAGTTTATTCCGGGGCAAAAAAATTTTGGAATTCATGCCTAGTTTTTTCATAATATGCATTTTTCACAAACTTTTTGAAGTCTTCCATATTTATTCAAGATATGTACTGAAGTATATGTACTGAAGTATGGGATTTATTTAAAACATTCCAGAAAAAATATTAAGGGTGAGAGTGGTAGAGAATAAATGACAGAACGTGGGCGGCTGTTCAAACTGATGATGGATACATGGGAGCTCACTGTTCTATTTTCTTTACTTTTAAGTATGTTTGGAAATTTCCATTATAAAATTCAAAACAAAAACTAAAATTCAGGCTTAAAAACGAGTGTCACTTGTCCAATATATAATAATCCTCCAGGTCTCATGAACTCCAGTTTCCCAAATGTAAGGCTTAAAGTCATCAGTGTTCATTGCTGGAATCTTTTATTGTGGTATGAGCCCTGACACTGGTAACAGCTATAGATGAACAGGTCAGTAAAAGACCATTTCTTTTTTTTTTTTGATTGGCTTTTGTTCTTTAATTTTGCCAAAGATACTTGTTGTAGGATAGATGAGAAAAGAAATAAAGGGTAGTAGTACTTCAAAATATACATAGCTAACTCACTTCTGTGATATCTCTTGCCCAAAAATGCATCACCTATCTTTAATCTCATTACCTAAAAGCATCAGACTCAAATTAAGGAACACTGTATTTTGTATATAAAATCATATATATATATATATATTCATATATATATATATAATTGCCTAGAATTCTTCAAAAGTGTTAATGAAAAGAAAAAGACCAAGGAACCACCAAATGCAATGCAAGCAAGGTCTAACATAGGACCCTGGAGCAGATAATGGACATTAGTGAGAAAATTAGTAAAATTTCAGTGAGGTCTGCTGTTATGGTTAATTTGATAACTATTATGGTTACTCAAGCATTAGAGGAAGCTAGGTGAAGAGCATATGAGAACTCTGAAAACTTTTTATAAATTTAAAATTATTTCAAGGGGATGGCATAATGGCTCCAAATGCTGGTTCAAGCCCCCCCCCCCCCTTTTTTTTTTGACAGGCAGAGTGGACAGTGAGAGAGAGAGAGACAGAGAGAAAAGTCCTCCTTTTGCCGTTGGTTCACCCTCCAATGGCCGCCGCGGCTGGCACACAGCGCTGATCTGAAGGCAGGAGCCAGGTGCTTCTCCTGGTCTCCCATGGGGTGCAGGGCCCAAGCACTTGGGCCATCCTCCACTGTACTCCCTGGCCACAGCAGAGAGCTGGCCTGGAAGAGGGGCAACCGGGACAGAATCCGGCGCCCCGACCGGGACTAGAACCCAGTGTGCCAGTGCCGCTAGGTGGAGGATTAGCCTATTGAGCCGCGGCACCGGCTTAAGCCCTATTTACTCTGCATCCCATCCAGCTTTTTGCTAATGGACCTGGGAAGGCACCTGAAGATAGCGTAAATACTTGGGACCCTGCCACATGTGACCATAATGGAGTTCCTGGCTTCAAGCTGGCCTAAACCTGGCTGTTGTAGCCATCTGGGGAAGTGAACCAGCGGATGAAAGATCTC